TAATCTAAGCAAGTTTACAGAAACCAAAACCCAGTCTCTCTTTTGACGAACAAAGTGTGCCAATATCAATTTGATCTGATTTAATTTTTAAACTTGTAATTAATTTCATAAACAAAACGCAAACAACTTGCTTGCTTGTTTATATTTGAGCTAACTTAGAGTTAGAGCCTAGGATTCACTATCAATGTCTAAAATCATAAAATTCAAATCATCTGCCATTTCAAATTGAATACAGTAGTATACTTGCTGTCATCAAATCGACGTCAAAGTTCTCTCTCTCACCATATTTTAATATTTTTTTTTTGCTCCCTCAATATTTAAACTAATGAATATGTGATGAAATAATATTTAATATATATTTAAAATCATTACATTGATTTAAAGTGTTGTTTTACAATAATAAGTCAATGTGAAATGAGCTTAGTAAAGAGTACTTTAAACATCATAAATTCATATCAGATGAGATAAATAATCTGCTTTAGAGGAAAATAGCACGGGCCTAAACTGAAACCGAGAATATCAAAAATTATTTTTGGGAAGCAGAGAAAAATTACTTCAGTTAATTCTCCTTTCACTTGCATGTATATTAAGATTCATAAAGTTAATATATTTGTACTCTTTTATTTATTGATCGAATTATATGCATTCATAAAAAACGAAATTTGGAATAAAGGCGGCTAGCTGCTGGTCCAAAAAAAAAAAAAGGAAAGAAAGAAAGAAAGGGAATAATGGCGGCTGGGGAATTAAATAGAGAAGAAATTTGGAGTCTTTTAAGTAAATCACATAGTTAAGTTCTGTAAATGAGAAAGATGTAAATATAAATCCATAAGTAAGCTTAGAAGATGTCCTTTTAGGAGTGACGTTTTAGCCAAAATTGCAGGCATACATTAAACAGCACACGGTGGTTGCGCCAAAGCCATGGGAAATGGGAATACCTTGCCGGTGAGGGCAGTATCACATAAATGCTTAACACGCTAGTTTGTACCGACTCTTTTAATTTTATCTATAAAATATTTTCAGCATGTTTCATATAGATTAAGAAAAGCTATAAACTATATTAATTTTTTCTAAAAATATAGTAATTTTTCATCTTTAATTTACTCCTATTTAATATATGTACATTTTTTAAAATAAATATAACTATCAACACTACATTTAAAAGTTTTAGTATTATTTTTTTCTTTTTAGTTTGATTAATTATTAGTTATTCTTTCCATATTATTTATCCTATTTACTTTTTTCCCCTCCTTCACTCACTTTTCTCATAATAGATAAGAATGCTTTTTTTAAAAAAAAAGTTATATTTTTTTTACATATTTATTATATGTTAACTAATTTTGATTGGGTTTTTTATTTATGTAATTCAGTTACTTGTATTTCATAAAAAGAAGCTGAGGGAGAGTATCTAGGCATTCTCTTTATATAGGCATCACAGAATATATATACTTCCCCTATTGTAACACCTCACATAATTATACCAATATACTCGATAAAATATTTAATTTAAAAGTCCATACATATTTTTAATACTGCAAATAAGTCAAAATTTCAACACATTTCTAACATAACTTAACAACATAAACTATTAAAGTCTTATAGTCATGGCAAATAAAAATATAACATAGCATGTGCTTGAGGAGCACAAAAGCCTTCACGGCTCACTCCATTGGTGCCTTCCCTTGATTCCTACTAGATCCTTCGCCTGAAAATTGTTAATATAGGGGGTGAGATCTAACGTCTCAGTAACTACTGAAATTCTAACCTATACAAGCAAATCATATATGATAAACCAAAAATCTGTTTATATGTGTGTATATAAATATATTAAAAATCACGGATTTGAGACATCCAATTCAATTTCATTTTTTTTTTCCAACAATATACCAATATCATTTTTCTAATATATCCAAAAAATAATGCAATATGCTACCTCCCTTATATCACCGTCCACCCTTATACCGCTGACTGGAGCCATAGGCTAACACATAGTCCGATAGGAACTAATCCATTTTACTGAATTATTCCAAGCTCACCGATACTAGAGATATATCCGGCCAAAGATATAGAGCTCAAGCTCGGACTATGGCTCCCCTCCTTTGTGAATAGGGAGGTGTCACATGTCCCACAGCTCCAATGAATTCCCGGCCAAAGGAAAACATGGAAGAAGGGGCCCTGACAAGTGCCATCCACTGTGCACCGAGTGATGGCATACCACGTGGTAATTTCATATCCATGCAATCTCCTTCTATCCTTAGCCCAACAATGCATGTCATATGCCAATAATGTTACATCATAAATACGTCCTCAAATATTTTAAAGATAAGATAGCAATAAAACTTATATACCATTTAATAGCAACTCATGACAAATCCTTAGCCATCAATATATTTAAACATTGATCATAATTAATAGCAATAAATCTTGACAAAATCAAATAACATTCCAAAACATTCATTTGAAAAATCACAATATTATATTTCAATATATGAAAATACAGTAAATTCATAATACAATCATACACAATTCACATGTACAAGAAAGAATTTTCAGAGTTACCTGGTACTCTTTAGCTTACAAAAATTCACACAACGATTACTCCAAAATTCTCAAGTCTACAAAATTGCACATAAATATTTATTAATATAAACTCAGAATTACTCCAGAGCTACTCTAAAATTCTAAGACTACCCTCTAAACCAAAATTTCATAAACATATTAACTCTCCCAAATCTAGGCATTTATAATAGAATTATTTTGAAAAATAATTTACATATAAGGCTATTTAAATTTAACAAAAGTATATATATATATATATATATTAATTATAAACAAACTATAGCTTTATTTAATTTTACAAAATTCTCAATTTATAATTTTTCAAGCCTTCAAAAATTATTTCAACAATATATCTTTAACTTATTCAATATTTAAACCGATTAAAACCTCAATAATATATTAAATAACTCAAATAAATTATTTAACTCAAATTTAATCGGTAAAAACATATTACAAGTCTAAATAACAAACTTTTCAACTAAAATCTTAGTTTAAAATTCTCAAAATAATCATTCAACAAAAATAAACCGATTAAAATTCCTTAATAATGTATCTTTAAATTTCTACGGTCATATATTGTCAAAACTCCATATTTACTCTATACCCAAACAGTAAAATTTTCTCTAAACATTATAATGATACTAATAATATAAAGTTCTAAATATATAGGAAATGTTCATAAAGAAAATATGATAACAAGAAGTAGTTTTGTGTACCTAAATGATCTCTAAAACCGTCAGGTACTCTGCAACTCGACTCTCTCTCTCTTTTTTCTCTATGCTTCTCTCTCTGTTTTTTTTTTCTTTTGCTCTCTTCCTCTTCCGCACTCTCTTGCTCTTGCTTGAAGGAGATCACCGGGGGATGATATATATATAATACCCCATGTTTCATTTTTCCACGGCTCATCTCCCACTTTTCCACTTCCACCGTCCTTTCCCCCTCTCTTTCTTCCATCAAATTTCTTCCTTCATTTATTACCTTCTAATTTTTTTCCAACCCATCTAACACTCCCCCTCAACATTCCTCTTTCATTTAATACACCCCCCTCAAATTCTTCTTTGCCTCCAACTTTCCACTGATTTGGTGGAAAGTTGTCCCCTTTTTTTTTTTTTTTAAATAATAAAATATTATTATATATATTATTTACATTTTTTTTTTTAGTATGTTACACCTATCCTTATTATAAGACACACTCTGGCCAAAAAACAAAAAAAGACTTTCGTTATAATAAACAAGTGGGGTGTTACTTTTATTTTTTTAAAAGGTTTTCCCAATTTAAAATCTCATTATCTGCATCTTTTATGACTTTTTGGATGTAATTCATGATCTAAAATATCAATAAATTCAATTTTTTCATTTTTAGATAAAATTAATGCCTTAGCTGTATATCTTTAATTTCTTTTATCAACCTCCTTTCTTTAATTTGGATGAAGTGGTTTGAGGTACCTAATGGAAGAAGCATATATGGGTTACAATTATTTTAATTAGAAGTAGTCAAAGACCAACGTAACTCTCACAGTCCCCTCCACTTAAATGTGCCTCCACACAACAAGCTAGGATTTGAATCCTCTAAAGATAAATGTAACTTTCAACATCAAATTTAAGTCCATATATTTAACCTTCTTAATGCTTGATTAGGTATTCAATAAAGAAATTAACAATGATATGCCGAAATTATTGAAGCTAAAAATATAACCAAACCCAAGTTTGGTAGTAAAAAAAAAAAAATCTCTGCTATATATAGCTGCTAGCTAGAACAAACCAAACCTTTTTTTTTTTGGATTGAATAAACCAAGCTTTTTATATATAGAATGGTCACGGAAGCTTGTGAGCCAAATTATAAAATCGCCTCTCAAATTTGCCAAAAAAAAAAAAACAATATTCTTGACAGGCAGTCAAGTTTATACATTTCTCATGGAAGAAAAATAATAACCCATTCAAAATACGCACCTTATCACTATAGTTACCAATATTAATTAATTATATTGGGACTTTTCTCTTTGTTAAGCTTTTAATTTGCACTCATCGCTTTATATTAATATTTCTTAAACCTGAATCATATATATATGTATATATATTTCACATGCTAGCTATTAATTTTTTATTTCTTTGATCCAGTAGCTCTAGAAATATATAATTTTGAGGATTTATATCTCATCTCCAGATCCAGCTAGCTAGGAGTTTTTAAATTGTAACAGAGATATTTATTTTCAATTCCCCACGCTGAAATTTAAATTATATAATTAAAATAATGTATAAACGACTGGCACATGTGTGGGCAAGTTGTCATCCCCAAATCATACGAGTCAACGATCCATGAAAAGTCCCACGGCTAAGTCTTTTTTTTTTTAATTATTTATTATTGTCATTATTATTGGTCCAATACACTCAAGTGTTTCTTACTCTCTCTATAAATCCATTCGGCCATTCCAACTCTGCAATATTATTGGGAAGAACCAGAACTTCAATACTCAATTGGTGGGAGAGAACGCCGTGTCGTTTTAGGGAAACGACCACCGTGCGTCTTTTTACCCTGACCCACACCAGAACAATATCCATATATTAACATGGTGGTTGCCGGAGGAAGCCCTGTCGGCGGCGTTCTAGGTTGGTCGGACATGAAGGGTCTGGCCGTGCAGGTGATAGCCAGCAGGTGGTTTGTTGTGTTTGCGTCGTTTCTGGTCATGGCGGCGGCGGGAGCCACCTACATGTTCGGCCTGTACTCGCCGGACATAAAATCAACTTTGGGCTACGACCAAACTACTCTCAATCTCCTGAGTTTCTTCAAGGACGTCGGCGCCAACGTGGGCATCCTCTCCGGGCTGATCAACGAGCTGACGCCGCCGTGGGTGGTGCTGGTGATCGGCGCCGTCCTCAACTTCTTCGGCTACTTCATGATTTGGCTTGGAGTGACCCAAAGAATTCCCAAGCCCAAAGTTTGGCAGATGTTCCTCTATATCTGCATAGGTACGTCCGTATATATGTATGACCAAAATTAGCATTTTGGCTCCTTAATTTTATTAAATTATTTTATTTCATCCAATCTTCTCCCCTACACAAATTTCAAATAAAGTCTCTTCTTTCTCTTTTTTGCCATGATCACATGCAATTTCTTATGCTACTTTTTCAAAACAAAAGGTGCATTTCCTTAAAGAAAAGATAAAAGAATAATACTACCTCCGGTCCTTAATATAAGACCCCGTTTGACTTTTAGTTTGGTCCTAATTATAAGACCCCAATCCATTTTGTCTCTCATATTTATGCATTTTTTCCCAAGATAGTCCTTCTAATAATGATAGTTCTAGTCAACACACTTAATTAATAAGGATATTTTAGGAATGACAACACTTATTTGTTACAAATAACTAACTTAACTTACTTCCTTAATCTCTTCAAATTAGTCAACTGGGTCTTATAATTAGAACCGGAGGTAGTACGTTAGAATTTAATTTATTGTTTTTTTTTTTTTTACTTATACTGCTTTTTGCATCAGTTTGAAAAGGACATCTCATATACAAGTATATAACTCATTAACTCCACCTTATTTTCGTTAAAGCCTAAGAAGCTAAAGACAAACTCTTGGGAGCTGGATAACGGTTGGCTTGTATTTATGATGTACTGAACAGCGATAATATAATAGGGACCCATGAACAAACTAATGCCTAGTGTTCGGAGTTTATGGGATTGATCTAAAATAATATCTCCTTCTTAGTATAAGAAATAAATAACTAATTTAGAGAAATTAAAAAAAATTAGTTAAGTTAGTTAATTATAATAATTATATATTAATTTTTCTAAATTAGCGTATTTCATTGGTAATTTGTTTAGTGATGATGAATCTGGGTTTGCATTGTGGCAGGTGCGAACTCTCAGACGTTCGCGAACACAGGGTCTCTGGTAACATGTGTGAAGAACTTCCCAGAAAGCAGAGGCGTTGTTCTGGGAATTCTCAAAGGCTACGTTGGTCTGAGCGGAGCCATAATAACTCAACTATACCACGCCTTCTACTTCAACGACACTAAAGCTTTGATCCTCCTCATCGGCTGGCTTCCGGCCGCCATATCCTTCGCCTTCCTCCGTACCATCCGCTACATCACCCCCGTCCGCCACCCCAACGAACTCAAGGTCTTCTACAACTTCCTCTACATCTCCCTCGGCCTCGCCGGATTCCTCATGCTCATCATCATCGTCCAGAAGCAGACCTCCTTTAATCAGTCTGAGTACGGCTTCAGCGCCGCCGTCGTCCTCTTCCTCCTCTTCCTCCCCGTCGCCATCGTCTACATCGAGGAGTTCAAGCTCTGGCAAGCCAAGCGCCTCGCCCTCGCCGAGCCCGTCAAGAACATCGTCGTCGACGACCCACCGCCGGAGATAACTGAGACGACGACGGATGCTCCTAAAAGATCAAATAATTTTGGTGATATAACAAAAGCAAGACGAGAAGGTCGGCCAGAGATTAAATGGTGGCAGAATGTCTTTAACCCACCAGAGAGAGGTGAGGATTACACTATTCTTCAAGCCCTTTTCAGTATCGACATGATTATACTGTTCATGGCCAGCATTTGTGGGATTGGCGGGACGTTGACTGCGATAGACAACTTGGGTCAAATTGGGGGATCCTTAGGTTACCCGAAGAACAGTATAAGCACATTTGTGTCCCTCGTAAGTATTTGGAATTACCTAGGACGTGTCTTCGCAGGTTTCGTGTCTGAATATTATCTGGCCAGGTATAAATTCCCTCGTACTCTCATGCTCACTCTCACTCTAATAGTTTCATGTGCGGGACATCTTCTGATAGCCTTCAACGTTAAGAATGGTCTCTATGTAGCTTCTGTGATCATTGGATTTTGTTTTGGAGCTCAATGGCCTCTGATTTTTGCGATCATATCTGAGTTATTTGGGTTAAAGTACTATTCAACTCTGTACAATTTTGGTGGTTCTGCGAGTCCAATTGGGTTGTACATTCTTAACGTGAGAATCACTGGTCATTTGTATGATAAAGAAGCTGAGAAGCAATTGGCAGCTTTAGGGTTAAAAAGAGAGGAAGGAAAAGAATTGAGCTGTGTTGGGTCAGATTGCTTCAGGATGTCGTTTATAATTATCACAGCTGCAACTTTCTTCGGTGCCCTTATATCTCTCATTTTGGTGGCCAGAACGAGAAAGTTTTATAAAAGTGACATCTATAAGAGGTACCGGGAGGCCGACACTGCAGAGCCGGCCGAGAATGGTGCCGGAAGTAGCGTCGCGGCCGGGGCGGGAGAGGGCAACCGTGAGAAGGAATTGGAGGTGAAGGGATAGGGAATAGGACAACTCATGTAGATATATATGAACATTATTTAAATCAAGAAATTTTCTTTGGGTTTATATACTTGATAATGTTCTACACGTTGGTGTAAAATATAGTGAACTTTCCGTTGGCTTTCACACAAAGTTACAAAATTTTGCTATTTTCTTTCTTTGTAGCTTAGCTTGATCCATATTCTATTCATCAGACTTGGAATAAAATATGGCAATGATGGGTTCATATTGTAATACTAATAATTGGCAATTTTTTATGCATGTTTTTCTTTGTTTGTCTTTTAACGTAAGACTTGTGGTCGGCTGATGCTCGGCGGATTTGACTAAATTTGGTTTTCTTTTCCTCTGCTCTGATATTTTTTATTTATTATTAAACGTATTTAGAGATTATCATATCGGGTATCAAATGGAGGAATCCACATATTTTGGATATTCCTGTAGTATATGTGTGTGTTGATGATTGGAACGACGAAAGCTCATTTCTTTTCTAGTTATATTTTATATTAAAAAAATCCCTGAACTCTTGACTGTTGAGATTTTTATATTTCCCTCGCTAAAGAGAATCTGGATATAAAATTATAAATTAGGGATCTTATTGCTATGTTTTGTGGGCTACAAGTCAATGTTGATTAATTTAAGAAAATAAGAAATTGTGTTGGCTCGAAATCCCAAATCCCTGCTTCGTAGAAAATAGAAGAAGGACAAAATGGATGGCAGAGATCCACAAACTTTTGACTAATTAATTAATAATTAACATGTATCTGGAATCTGTTTAATCTTAGCTTGTGCTTCAGTTAACTATTAAGTTTGATCAAGCACTGCTTAAAAAAAGGTTTTTCCATGAACGCCCATGAACTAATTTCTTTTGTTTTGGTTTTTTTTTGGGGGGGGGGGAGTATTAATTGATTGAGATATGCGCAAATTGAATCAAATTAGTAACTGAGGACCCTGTTCAATTTTAAGTAATGTAAGAATCAATTGTGGACACGAGTATTAATCACATTTTTTTTAAATGTTGTCCCTGTTTTTTTCAAAAAAAAAATTGTCTCTATTTAAGGTTTGATATAATATTTTTTTCGGGTAATTTACAACCTTAAATAAATGTAAGTTTAATATTTTTTATTTTCAAGCAAATTTAATTATTTAACCACATGTGCCTCACAATACTCGAGTCAAGTGGCTTCATGTATATCATTTTGTTAAGAGAATCGAAGCAAATAAGAAATCCATCCAAGTGGGGTCATATTTATATATATAACGAAAATGGCACATGGGATATAGTTCGGTGACTTGGGCAAAACATATCCCTGTAATTAATACTCATTTGGTCATATTTAGCTCGAAATCCCAAATCCTTGTTTCGTAGAAAATAGGAGAAGGACAAAATGGATAGCTTGTGCTTCAGTTAACTAGTTAAGTTTGATCAAGCACTGTTTTAAAAAAGGTTTTTCCATGAACGCCCATGAACAATTTTTTTTTTTTTTTTTGCGCCGGGGGGTGGATTATTAATTGATTAAGATATGCGCAAATTGAATCAAATTAGTAATTGAGGACCCTGTTCAATTTTAAGTATTGTAAGAATCAATTGTGGACACGAGTATTAATCACATTTTTTAATATTGTCCCTGTTTTTTTCCAAAAAAAAAATTTATTGTCTCTGTTTAAGGTTTGATATAATGTTTTTTTCGCATAATTTACGACCTTAAATAAATGTAAGTTTAATATATTTTTTATTTTCAAGCAAATTTAATTATTTAACCACATGTGCCTCACAATACTCAAGGCAACTAGTTTTTATATATATTATTTTGTTTAGAAAATCGAAGCAAATAAGCAAGAAAAAAACCCGACTAGACCGACTGCTTCAATTGAAAAACCGGTGAACCAGTGGTTGGTCCAGTCTAATTTGATGAAAAAACCGCCTCCCAAATGAATTGTTTAAAAATCGGTTCAACTAGGAAACCGGTCAGATTGATGGGTTGCCCGGCTTAAAGTTTTTTATTCTTGTCCCCCCGCCGATTGAGCCTGCCGGATAATAAATGCTCCTCACCTCTTCTTCGTCTTCTTTTCTGGCCGGTGAGTGGGGCTCCGCTGAAACCTCCTCAGTTGAAGCATCTGGCGTCGAGCTTGCCTGATTGCACCTATGGGGACATGCCTCTTTCGTGTGACCATAGCAGCCACAATGGAAGCAAACAAGTTCCCGACCTTCGTATTCAGCAGAGAAAACAACGTTTCAAATAATAAACCTCTGTTTAACCTTTCTACACGAATCGATCTCAATACTCATTCAAGCAAACCTTCCCCTTTCAACATTGGACTTCTTTCCCTGACCTTGAACCGGAGTGTCCATTTCCACCCTCAGTGACGTCCCAATCTTGTTCCCTAATCTCTACAGGAAGAGCCTTTATTATATTTTTTTTGGGTAAATGCGTAACTCTCACTCAGATGATCATTTTCATAGGAATCTCCCGAATCCTGGGGGTGAAGTTAGGGATCCACCGCCGCACCGCACGATAATGTCCCATGACGAACCAAGGACCCTGCCGTAATACCTTGTCACAGTAACTATCTTGCTTGAATCTAATTAACGACGTAATAATCATTTAGAATATCAATAAATCAAGACCAATGAATAAACGTCTATGTGAATGAAATCTGAAAGTAGAATAGTCAATGTTTGCTTGGTACAGTTAAACAATTAAGCTACTTTTGTAACTTTCTTTTTTTTATAGTTATTATTATTTATAAATTTTGTTCTATTTTAATGTTGTCAATTAAATTGTATTATTTTCATATGGCCGGTCTGACTAGTGACCCTTGATGTCTTGACCGGTTTAGTTTCCAGTCCAGTTTTTCGTTCCTTGCAAATAAAAAATCCATCCCAGTTGGGTCATATTTATTTGTGCATGCGTGCGCATATATATATATATATCTCGATTTTTAATATAAAAGTTGATTTAACTTTCATTTTGATTCTAAATATAAGATCCTAATTCATTTTGTTTATCATATTTATCTATTTTTTTCAATGTAATTGTTATAATAATGATAGTTCTAACAACTACACTTGATTAGTAAGAATACTTTAAGAATGACAACACATATCTATTATAAATAACTAACTTAACTACTTTTCTTAATCTACTTAAATTAGTCAACTATCTCTTATATTAAGGGCCAAAGGTAGTAATTGGGTGATTGGGCGAAATATATCCGTGTAATTAATAAATGTTGTTTCAGATTTTAGGTTCTTATTAACTTAACATCATCCTCAAATTGTACGTAACAATGAGGAGGGGTAGAAGTGGAAGTTTGTCTTTTTCAAATATGTAATTGAGCTTCTTCTTTTTTGCTTTTTATGTTCTATTTTTATTGATATTTATTTGATAAGTCTGACGGAATTTTATTTCTATAATAATGTGTTTAACCTTCAATATGTTTTTTATATCTAAATTTAAGAATACTGATATGCGAGAGATTCAATTGAGAACATAATTTTATAAAATTAAAAGGTCCATCTTTTACAGAGCAAAATGAGGTTCTAGTCCATGTCGTGAATTATTACAAAAAGCAATAAGTGGGTATCAACTATTAAGCCGAGTTAATAGATGGCACAAATTAAATCTGTTTCGTTCGTTTTATACACATATCATCTGTTTGGGTCAGCATTTATGAGAGGAAAAGTGCTTCAAAATTTGTGAAACTGACTTTTGGAGCTTAGCTAGGGCTAATGGATCTGCTTTTGGAGAAAACCTTGGTAAGGTGGAATGTTTCAAGATCTCTAGATAAAAATTAAATCATAATTTTAAAAATAATTTTACGATATACAAAATAAATATATAAAAAAATTTATTTTAATTTATAAAAAAATACTCTCGGGAAGTGTTTTTTTTGTAATGCCAAACACCCCTTTGGAAGAATCACGTGGGTGCGTTTAAGAAGTCAATTTACCGTTAAAATAGCATTTAATACTCGTTCAAAAATGCAACTACCAGATTTGCCCTTCTCTCTTCTCTCTCTTCTCCCTCACTGTTCTGGAAAAAAAAAATCCATTTTTTCTCTCTGCATCTTCGCCCTTTCTCTGGTCGAGTCCAGCTTGGCCCTTTCTTCAACCGAGTTTTAACCGTCTTCTTCCTTCTCGTGGCTATCTAGTGCATGCAAGGGGCAAGTGGTAAGGTGGGGTTAAAGTCTTTGGATCCAAAGGCGGTAATCCTCCCCTTTTTTTTCCCCCAAAATATCCTTCCACCCTAAACTGATCTATCAGAGTACTGTTTGGCACCGTAACGGGGACTTCTCCCAACAATGTTTTTTTTAGGGTTAATTAATCTGCAAGTCCTTATAGTTTCAACCAATTTTGAATCAGGTCCTTATAGTTTTTTTTTTATTAGGTCCTTATTCTTTCACATGTTTTTAATTAGGTCTTGCATTTATTTTTCTTTTTATAAAGTCCTTATAATTTCCCTAAATTCTTAACCAGGTCCATGTTGTTTTAATTTTTATTTATTAGTTAAATATAAACTTAATTAAGTAGATTACTGAAATATAAAATACTAATAATGAAATGAAATTAATATAAGTAATATAATTAATTAATTCAGGAATTTTTTTTACAACAATTAATATTTTCTTGCTGGCAAAAAATAAAATTATTATAATAATTCATTATTTTTAGAATATTATTGTTTTATAGACTAATATTAAATAATATATACTATTGTATGATTATAGAATAATATTATTAGAATTCATAAAATAAAGAGTAAAAAATTCAGGAACTTAATTAAAAATGAGGTGAACTTATAAGGATTTGATAAAAAGAAAAGTAAATACAAGGACCTAATTACAAATATGTGAAAGTATAAGGACCTAATAAAAAGAAATAAAATTATAGGAACCTGATTCAAAATCGGTTAAAACTATAGGGACTTACAGATTAATTATCCCTTTTTTCTATACACACAATCCCAAGGATCAAACCGAAGACATAATATTTAAGTGTCCAAGTCCCTTCTACCTGGACCAGCATAAGCTGAAAGGCATGTGAGAATTTCCTTTTTGAGTTTAAATACACATAAGATTTTTTTTTTCCCGGTACATAAATGAACATGAGAATTTCTATCGGGAGAATTGACAAACAAAAATTGGGCTTCAAGAACAAGCCATTCATATATTATATTCCCGGTCAGGGCCCAAATCATCAAGTCCCGGTCATTGGTAAGCCGTCTTTGACACAAAAGATTTTAAAATTTGTAACAAAAAAAAAAAGGATTTTAAATTTTTGGATTCTGAACTCAAGTCATAGAGTGCCCAATAGGTATTCTAAATCCT